AAAAGATAAAGGAAGCATGATGCCTTTGAAATAATCTTTGCAAACAGATAGTAAATAAATTGGATCACCCTTAAAACTGACTAGAAAGTAAACAAATCTATAATAGAAATGATTGATCAGCAAACTTGATTTACATGAAACCTGCAGAATAGACGGGAAATCATTCCGAGATATTGAGAATATACAGGTATTACATATATTTAAGTAAAGCAAACCAAAAATCCTCTACATATCTACTTTATTAACGATATATATGCTGCGTGTTGACTGGGTAACAGTGCTGACAGGTAGAGTGTATTTAGTATGAAGCAGACCTCGGGATTGGCCGTGTATTTTATCAGTGTCACAAGGAGCATGTGTCAGAGCAGGGAGAGAGTACTTGGCATCTCCTGCGTAGCTATACCAGGCACTGACATGACAGCCAGCTTGCCCTGTACCGGGGCTATGCAGTACAGAGTCTGGCTCAATCCTCCAAACTATAGATGCTACTAATGCTGAATGACTTATCGCAACTCATGCCAGTGTTATCGTCCTGCCAAAACACATTCCTTCATTCTCCAATGCATACAAAACACCACTTCCCTGAGCAGCCTGCTAGTCTGCAGTACCGACATACAGCTTACAATTCTGTTGTGAGCTTTGTGTACCATAGCCAGAAACATATACAATGTGATCTCTTCCAATCCAACAGCAACCAAACCACAAAATAGCCTTAATTAAACACTCAATTATCAATATACACCTAGTACAGATCAACGAACGAGTGTCTGTATAAGTAAATGCGTGTTTACAATATCAGTATACAACTTGTGTCAAGAGTACCAGAATTGGCACTTTTCCAACCCCAAAAATATGAATGAAAAAAAAAGATTGAAATTTCATCCAATGTCAAAGTTTCACAAATACAAAGTTAATTTGCGAAGTATTACAACAAACCATCCAAAATGGATGACAGTTGGGGCAATCGCCTCAGCTTGATCCTGATCCCAAATCTTATCAAATTGACTTCCAGAAGACAGACATTTTTTCTAGACTGGATGGACCCTTCCCAGCATCACACCTTTATAATGACTAATACTCTAAACACAAACTCCAAAACATGTTTATTTATCTTTTCTATCATAACATATCGACTGCCACAAACTTTTCAGAATCTCATTTTTTTTTTTTTTTTATACCAAAGTATTGATAATAAATTTCCACAAGGTTTAATAATGTAATGTACTTCTACGGAATGGATTTTATGTCCAGAGTATGAGGAATGTGCAATATCACTCACTATAACCAATAAATATGAGAATATACACAGGTGCAATGCCCATAAGCCCTTCTTATCTTTCTGCAGGTGCCCTAGGCCTCTTCTCAATTATTAACTAATTATAGATAAGCATCTTGTGCACATAAAGAAAAGAACCATCCCCTTAACGAAAGTAATATATATATATTTTAGCATATATGTCAACTTTTATATAGCAACCGACCAGCATGAAAATATAAAGTTTGAGAAGCTTTTGTATAGGTATTATAGCCACATTTGTCCACTTCTACATTTTGGTGTAATGATAATATTGTACACAGAATATTTATATTTTTTACAACATTGTGTTTATACCACAACCCTTGATTAACAGAGTCCTGGTTCATAATTATATGCTGTCAGTTAAATCATAAGGTAACTTTTACTGAGTTTTTTTTAGAAATAGACCCCTCAAAAAAAAAAGTTTATTAAAGGTTGGAAGTTTCACCAAAAAATATTATTAACAGACAAAATTGATAATCGTACCAAGTTATTACCGTTGTACACAATACTAAGTGGGAATGTTAAAATAAACCACCTCTATGAAATCAATGATGGCAAAAATGTGAGGAAACAAGTTAGCCAGACCAAGAACACAAGTGCTGTCATATTATCTGGAACCATACAGATGAAAATGTTATGGCTGGGGCATATTCAAGAGCTTAGTTTGAAATACTTATATTTCCACTCATTACAAGGCCATTAATACATGTAACAATATAAATGCACCTACATCCGATTCTCCTTGAACTAAGGCATTTGGACATTCAAGTTTAAAATATCATTTGTGAATACATTTTGGATCAATTGTACAAGATTTGTCAGTCTATTTTAAATCAATTGAGAGCTTGCATTGCTGATATACGTTTTAATTACTAATTGTTTAGAAATGGTGAGAAATATTTTTGAAATGATTTTGGGAAATTACCCCCCCTCCCCAAATATGGTCTATTTTCAACACACACAAAAATTAATGTTCATATCACAGATAATTGTATTTAAAAAATTAGAAGGTCATGTCCTATAATCATTCTGGGTGTACGTGTTAGACAGGATTTACCTTTGCCCATCCTTGTTTTTTTAGCTGTATGTACACAGCACATCTTGTGCTTGTTATTTAACTATACCCATACAACTGTAAAAGTCTAGGTAGTGCTTTGCCCCAACTTCCTTTCACAGTGTCAAATCACTCAAGCATATCTGGTGTTAAAATTAATTATAACTGGACTCCGTTACAGTTCAGTGAACTAGATAATTGACTAATAATCTCTCATCTTCATCATTCGTTTACTTTCTTATTAAATATGAAATAAACAGAAACAAATTAGGAATTTAATAGTTTTTCACTGAACAGACGACTGACCTAGTGTTGTCTTATTTGTTTCACAGTCACCTGGTGTTCTAGATTGAAGTAATTAAATCACTGCGGATGACAGTGACAAAGGTATAAATGGCTAACTCTACCATAGTAGTTTGAGTGTGAGGTCTGTGTTGGTAAGGATGGAGTACCACACATTATTATACAATATAAAGCACATTTATGGAAATCATAAATAGTTATATTAACTAATCATTATATTATGTTTGTACGTTGCAGGTAGCAGTCATCCTTTAGATTAAAGAATTCGAAAGAAAGGAAGATGTTAATTCTCATTTATGACTGCTACCAATGAAGAAGAGTGATACCATCTTGAATGAAATATCCAGCTTTTAATTTTTCAAATCCACTGTGCAACCAACATAGCAAAAATACAAAATAGCATGTCGATGTTGACATTAGAATTAGTTACAATACATGTAAATGAATAAAATAAAACATCATATATTAGTCAAACTCATAATACATTATCAACATTATACTAAATTATTTATTTTACACTGCAGTGATTAATCTACAATTTATTTTACGAGTCCTTTCAACTGTATTGCTAAAAATAATGAGTTCCACAATGTTAATTTAACTAATTCCAGAAATTCTGGGAGTCCCATACAAATTCTATGAGTATAGGACTCGGGACTCGCATGTAGATTGATCACATTTTGTGAAATTCTGCGAAACCCATACAAATACTATGAGTATAGGACTCGGGACTCGCATGTAGATTGATCACATTTTGTGAAATTCTGCGAGTCCCATACAAATACTATGAGTATAGGACTTGGGACTCGCATGTAGATTGATCACTGCTAATATTATTAAACATCAGATACAGACAAATGCCCTTTAGCTCCTAGGTTCTTATCATAGATACACGTACATGGGAGCCATTGTGTTAAAATCTATCTGGAATGACCAACAGCGTCAACACTGCAGGGGACAACTTGTTTACAATACCTGATATGTTTGTTTGTGTTACTACATCACATGTAATATATGTTTACAGGTTTATCTTTTCCCAAAGATAACTGTATATGTTGTGTTGTTATTTCACCCCAGGTATAATTTGCCCAACCAAAAATATATATATATATAGAGAGAGAGAGAGAGAGAGAGAGAGAGAGAGAGAGAGAAATGAAAGCAAGGTTCATAGAAATTATCATGGACATGTCAAATCAAACCTTACAGATTTAATTACATGACCCACAAACAAAGCATATAACTGAAATGAGATCTGAATATACCTAAACAAGACTTTCTTTCTTAATTACAATATCATGTTGAAATGCACTGGGTGACTTCGGCAGTATGTTTTAATGAGGTAGCACTATGAGTCGGCATCAGTTGCGCGCTACCACAAGGAGACAAACACGAACAAATATATCGCAGCCTCCAAAAACACACATGCATGCATCTTGCACACAGTGGGTGCCGTCCTTAAATGAATATAGCTGTTGATAGGACGTTAAACAATACTAAACCAAACCTAGCCTTCAGACCAAATATATATAATATGGTAGCTCCAATACACAACTTCTACACTGACTGTAAAAACAATTTACTACTTAAAATACACCCTAGTGTGTTAGGTTTCTCACTTTAAATGGGTTTTATTTCCATAAAAATTAATTGATTGATTCACAAAATGAAGAAGGGTAAATTTTGAACAGGAACAGTAAAAAAATATATACATGTGTATTGGACAATACACCGACTTTCACAATAATGTTGTTTTTTGTTCAACATGTACAAATCAATACAAAATAACAATTTAAAACTAACTGAAAACATAAAAAGTACAAGTAATCATAAATAAGAGACATTTTAATATAACGTTAAAATGAATAAGACTCAATGATGCTAAGTTTGTTTGGTTATTCTCTAGAAGCCAGTGTGTGTATTGCGGTCACGTGACTTAGGATCCCCCCAAGTTGATGGTGTTTACAAACCCCGGAGATTCCCGGTAATCATAGTCTTAAATCGAACCGATTCAGACATTATAATGAACTGTAATGATTATGAAGTAACTGTATATGTAACCTGTATAATATAAGTGGTAATATTAGCCGTATTTATGAAATTTAACAACAAATACTTCGAAATCACTGCTTTTACATTTTCCAACATGGCGGCCATGGTTAGGAATGGACATAGCTGCATGGCGACTAAACATGTTCGTGGCACGTGGATTGCTATGACAGTTCTATTACATCTCAAGTAACTCATATTTGAAAGATATAAAACGAAAAAGGCAGACTTGTGGGACTTGTCTCACTACGAATGCAATGTTTGCTCTCTGCATCTTCAATGTGATCGCAGTCTTACCTTGAACGAGACCCACCAATCCAAGTAGCAGGATGAATATTGACACCGAACGCATCCTTACGGACAGATGGATGCCTGTAAAAACAAACTGCTTGGTCTCCAGACATCAATACGTTTTAAAACATGGTCAACTCGAGAATAAATGGGGCAGGCTCTCCATATCCACCTGAGGTTGGCGGCCATAACAGTATTGTACGGAACTACTTCTTACATGCCTCTTATTCATCCGCTTGACAGGTGCCCGTGATTCGGTCAAGATTAATTTGTTTACGTTTCGGTATAAATGAATTCTTAACTTGCAACAAAAATACAAATTTAGAATTCCTTTACATAACAGTTTTCGTAGTCTCATCAACAAGTGATTAAAATATGCCAGTGCACGTCTTGACTTGAATTTTTGACCACAAAAGTTGGGATTATATTCTAAAGCGCAACTTGGATTAACCTTTACAGGAAAGAAAAAGTTAGGCACCTGTCAAAATAAAGAATGGGAATGTTTAAAGAGGTCTTATCCGTTTTTTGGCGGTATATCAAAACTCACGGACAAACTTATTTTTACGATAAATAGAAAATGCGCATTTGTGAGGCCTATTGAGGATATAGAATTATTTATACGTGTTCTGGTGCATCATGACATAGACAGACTCGGAATAGTGTATATGTGTATTTTACATATATGTAAATCCATATGTGAATTGCACCATAAATTTGCGGGAAAAATATTGCAACTGTCAAAAATTAAGGTTTTGGACTAGATCAGTGTTTTGTTTGTTTGTTATGTTTTTTCTCTCCAAAGCGTCAGTATTTTATTCTTCCAAGTAATAGTTATATGAATTGATTATTATATATGTAGCATTCATAGCTCCCTACACAGGATGGTTAATTCCTAAAGATAGAATATTTTCCGGATAACGCACATAAACTGGTTTATTCAGTAAAGGACAAACAAAGGGTTTCTGTGAGCATTTAACACGAAAATACCCACAATGGGGGGGAAAATGCTAAACGTGCGCTATGAAAGTGGTGGATTTTGTACAGGCTATTAATTAGATTCAACAATAATTATGGCTGTGCCCAACGCCCCCAGCATTAGCACACGGCTCTGTATTCTATACAACGACATTCCCTAACGTATGTCACGCGCATGGCTCATACTGTCACAGCTCTACCAAGGCTCTTGCGCCAAGGTTTTTACACCTTGCACTCTTTTTACCAATGAAGCAACATATAGTCGTACTTCAACTTTGTCACTTCGTTGATTTATTGTTCTGCAAACTGAAGTCAATGGAAACCCATCTTTAGTCTTGGAGCCACGACTAAGGTCGCTGTAGATGACCTGTCTATAGCTATCAGAGAAGATATGGTCGAACTTATCGATGGACCTGTGTGACAATACTACTGTTATAGAGGATGCCCTAGTGCAAACATGTTGGTAGTAGACTCACTTTCCGGTAGGTTTCTTCTCTCCGAACGGACACCAGTTTCAGAAGTACCGGACTTATTCCCTAAAACCTTATTAAGGATCTCTGGTCCTGATTTTCACATTCACTTTAACTTGTCCCTTCAGCATAGAGGTATGAACACATTTGCCTCATCAAATCCAATTCTTGGTTCTCACATTAACAGAGGATGGTTAAATACGGTGCGAATTCTGCTTTCCACATTTAACCACATTTCAGGAGTTAAACAACTGGCTTCACCGAAGACCTCAATACCGATGCTAGAAATAGGGCACCCGTGGCTATGATACTCAATGCCGTTATCTATAGTGTGCCACGCACACGCTCATTACCGTTGTTACCACTAAATTCACCTTGGGAGTTTTCCATATTAGCTTGTTCTGCTTCAGTCTCAGACTCGGTAAGACCTTCATAAAGCTACAGTCTTTCTCCGAAAAGACACGATTTTTTTCTGAAGCTTTCAACATGAGGCTGACATTTTCTACCACAGTCGGAAATTGGTCCAAGGGCCTTGATTGATCAGTATCAACAGTTTGCCAACTTTGGAGGCGTCTTTTGTCGGAGGACGACTTGAACAAAATAGTCATTATTGAAAGTTTTCCAATAAAACATGCTTTCCTATTATCTTTTCTGGCTCATCATTTATTCAGGTGTCTTTCCGTTCTTTGTTGCAGCTTACACGCATGCTAGTTGCTTGGAGTTCTCTTTACGGCTCTAGGCATTGTATGCAAAATGTCCGCTAGTCGTCTCCTCTCGACCAAACATTACCCGATTCATTGTGGAGGCTGACGTTTTATGATTGGATGATCTGCATGCCATCATCAGAAGAATCAGATACGGCAAATTATGTTCCAATCAGCACAACGTTTGTCTACATATTTGACATAGCGACTTGAATTGTGTTTAATCAATCTACAATCCCACCTGGTTGGGGATCACAGAATGTACTGGACATTTATGCAATTCTCAGGCGCTGGCACATGCATTGAAACGATTTCTTTAAATTTGCTTGCATCAATCGGAGTAAAGAGATTTCGGGACATGACCCTCACGGCCACTACCTCAATAAGAAGTCGGGCAAAAGTGCGCTCTTCCGAATCGGGAATAGGAAAGCATTCAGTCCATTGGATGTTGCAGTCGCCGAATTTATTTCCTTTATCTGTGACTGGAAGCTCTGCCAGAGTATTTTGACATTCCTTTCCATGTCTCTCCATTGGACTATTTCCATTTGTGCTAATTTCCATTTTAAGAGACTTTTGCATTTACCAAACACTCCAATTTCATCATTTTGTAGTCCGGTTAAGTAAAATGCTTGTCTAAGTGCAATGGTTTTTGTCATTTTCAAGTGACCCGAGATTCAAGTGGCTTGGTATTTGTGTAACACGTCCTGTCCCTGTTTTGTGTCACTGGAACGATTCCCTGCATGTGACTTTTTGAGCACATATCTTCCAATCGACGACAGAGTGTCTTGATCTCTATCACAAGACGATCGAACTGCAGATCAGAGCCACTTTGTAATTAAATTTGCTTTCCGATATCCTGGTACTTTCGTGTTCTTTAGGTTTCTACCAATTGCCGGACATTTTGGATATCTTCATCCTTTTCCTTAAACAAAAGGGGAGGAGACTCGTCATCGCCACTTCTGACGATTTTCCTCTGCCTGATCTGTAACAGGGTGAGTAACCTTTTCCTAGTTTGGATGAAAGCCGTATTGTCTACAATGTATTCTGTTAGTTATGAGTCCAAATGGACGAAATGGCTGCAGTGAATTTTCACTAAGATATAAAAATAAAAACTTTATGTATTTCACAACAATTCAATCACTCTTGTTGGCCCGGATGTTAGCGCGCAGGGGTATAAATGTGGGAGGAAACCGGTTACCCGAAGAAATCCCACGTGGTAAGGCAGGTGACCCCATACCTTTTCACATCCGATCGGGGAATCCAACCTCGGCCGCGTTGGTGGAAGCGCAAGTGCGCTATCCACTGCGCAACCCGACATCCCTATTTTTACTTTGCAATGTTTTAAGTAACAAGGTGATTGACTTTAATGATGGTCTATCTGTCCACGAGATTGACTTAGCCTTATTGCGGAATATATTCTTGCAGGATTTACAAAAAATACTTGTTACTAGTAGTCAATAGTAGCTTAAAGTTGTAAATCTATAACGCATTTTGTAGCCAACTTTATCTTTTTGCTGTATCCTACATCAGTTTGGACCTCTCAGACAGTGGGGTTTTATCATTATTTTAACCTTTCGTACCACTGACGAGTGCCAATGAGATGAACTGTCGATATGGTGTTCACTTTGTTTGGCTAACGCATCTACAATCAAACTTTTCAAAAAGCTGCTTCATTTCTTTTTATTAATAGAGGGTCTCACTTTCATGTAAGCTCAATTTTATCACATAACATTATTTGAAAAAAAAACCACTTCGTACACAATTATGTGTTCTCAGCTGTATAGTTCAAACCAAATTACCAAGATCATGGTATCGTCGTTCCGCGCAGTTCAAAGTGGTTCCAGATTTTTTCTCTCTTTTTTTTAGTTCAATGAAAAGAATAATAACAAAATAAACGTTTTCAAATCCATTTAAAATAACAGTAAACGTATCAAGTGGTATAGAAAGTAAAAAAAGTACTTTTAGTGGCGTAGGAATATGTTACTACCACATTTATGTTCTATCTGCAGGTCATCTGAACAGAGGACGTCTATCCATCTCAAGAGTGAGCTGTGGTTTGTCCTGATTGTGGAATATTTTCCACACAATTAGCGACGAAAGTGATTCAGGAAGTTAATAATCGACATAGGTAACGCTCCTTTCATGTTATCGTCCTATACAGGACCGACAATCGGGTCCGGTAAATTTCCGGTTTTCGGGCGCTATTGGTTTTCTCCTCAGCATCAAAACTTCATATATGTAAACAAAAAAACAAGCTAAAATAGCGTCATTCATTGCATATGTATCCAGAATCAACGATTATCGAACTCTTGGCGAACGTTAGACAAACAATAGGCCTGCATTTTCCCGTCAAAGTATGAACGTGCTTAGTAGTGGCAAAGATGTTTTGAATATCATCTCATCTGTAACATACGTCGTCACACTGGTAACGTACACGATTACATCAACCAAAGGATTATAACAACCGTTATCACACCAACTAAGGAAAGATAGCATTCGCCATCACACAAACCAATGACAGGTAACACACTTCAGCAAACAAACCAATCGAGGTAACACAAATAGCATAGGCAATCACACAATAACACTTCAGCAAACAAACAAGGGGAGGTAACTAACATAACCGCATACCTCTCTACATAACCAAGGGAGATAATATCACTATTACACCAAGTAAAGGAAGATAACATACAACCGAAGGTCATCACGTTAACCAAGGGGAGATAACATACGTCTCTACATAAATCAAGGGGAGGGGGGGAGGGGGGGGGGGGGGTGTATTTACACCATTTTTCTAACCATGTGGGAGATAGCATACACCATTTCAACAACCATCTAAGGGGTAGTGTCATGCGTCGTCCAGCCAAAGGAGACATGTACACCAAAGGGAGATACCATACGTCTCTATATCAGTCAAGGGGAATAACGTAATCATTACATCAACTTAGGGATAGCATACGTGAGCACACCAACCAAGTCAATCACATGAACCAAGGGCAGATAACATACGCCCATGTACAAATCAAGTGGAGTTCCATACACAATTGGGACGTAACAAAGGTCATCA